ACAAGATCATGAATTTTACAGCCTCTTCACCGTATGACTGTAATCAGGTGCCAGCTTCAAACATCTGTTCTTTTCCAAGACAACACCAAATGGGAGCAAAAAGAGAAGATATCTTTATTGGCATAAAGCCGGCGGGAAATGTGGTACAGTTTTTAATACTAGACATTACTACAAATGGAGCTTCAAAATTACCTGAAATTCAGAATCAGCACCAGATTTCCCATTTCACAGTGATGCATGGAACAGCCTAGGAGGGTCATCAGCAGCTGATAATGTCAAAGCAGTACGTCCTGTTCTCATTCACAATTACATAAGCATTTCAATGAAGGCAGTTGCCTCTGCTAAAAGATAAGATGTACTGAAAATTGTGCACTGTTTCAATTGTTAGTGAGACACATGCAGATTTTAGTTGGCTGTTAAATGGTTGTTCATCTTTTGGTTAGTTGAAAGAACATGTTATTCTCATACCTTATACCAACAAATACTTAAATACAAAGTCACAGAGAGTATTTTCTAGTTATCTTAAATACTTAGCCTACCAAAATCTTTAACAAGTTAGATAATTAAGAAGTTTTTAGATGCTTCTTAGATGTTTTTTGCATTTATTTATGTCTACAGGGACATATTTAATTATTTTTTTTTTTTTTGTAATTATCATCTATTTAATTTACTATATAGACATTTCAACATGGAAGAGGCACCCATCAAAGTCTCAAGATTCTTGCAGTGTAATTCTCTGGTAGACACCCAGCTCAGTGTGAGGCTATAGCCTCGAACCAAAGGAAGTTTAATGTTGACTTCATATAGCTTTGGCTCAGACTATCGGCTTTCCTCTGATTTTAATTCTTTATATTAACATTTTATAATTCTTTATATTTTCATGTGCTACTACTAAGAGATGTTTAACATCAGAAAACATGAAAGAATCACAAATCGTACTGTAATAAGGGAAAGCATATTTGTTATACTTAAAAGCATCCATTCTCGTGAATATACACAGATGAGTAAATTTTGTCACTATTATTTAATGAGTAAAATAACATAAATTGATCTCTAATTATCTCCAGAGAAAAAGCCTACAGCTAGAATAGGTTGAGTTTTGTTACCAGGATATGTTCTACATATCATGCATAATAGTTTTAACTAGGCAGCTGATGAGAACCAAGGCACAGATTTTCAGGGCAATGCAGGTGCCTCACTTCTGCTACAATCTATGAAGTAATGCATTCACTACAGCTCTCAGTTTTGGCGTGCCTAAACCTGAAGATTATTGACACCAGAGTGGAATTCACAATCTGAAGCTTAAGTAATTTCACTTTCTATTGGATGCTCTATGATGGTTAAGTCCCTGGGCAGAAAATTGCATGTACTGCACAGTGCACTGGAGCACTGTGATACAAAGGCATAGGAAACACAAAGAAAAAAAAAGTAGAAATCCAAGAAGTTATAAAACTGAAACTATAAATATGTCTTACAGGAGGACAGAAGAGAGATGGTCTGATCTTAGAGAAGCAGATGATAGGAATTGATACCAGTTCTCACATGACCCAAGTCTCAGGATTATAAACTGGTTCAGTTATTCCAATGAGAACGGATTCAGCATGTATGTAGGGTAACTGCTCTGGTTTGGAAAGTACCTCATCACTGTACCATCCTGTAGGTGACATGTGATCACACACACACCCCTCTGATAATTTGTGCTCACATAATCGTCTGTGCTTCCTACAGCCTTTATGCAAAGAAAGAGAAATCAGAACTTGATGGATACTTCTCAAACAGCTGAAAGCCTGACTTTGCTGTACTGCTCTATGCTTTGCTGTTTGCCTTCCAGGGCTCAGGGAAACGTGGATTTTCAGGTCTTCCTCTTGCTGTTGGAAAACAAAACAAAACAAAACAAAAACCACGCATATATATCTCAATCATAGAATCATAGAATGGCTTGTGTCAGAAGGGTCATTAAATATCACCTAGTTTCAGTATCTCTCCATGGGCAGGTAACTGCTTAAAGAGGAAATAGGGTTGACCACCTTCTCTGTGAAGAAATTTTTCCTGATCCCCCAGTTGACTCTGCTGACACAGCTCCATGCCGTTCCCTCAGGCCCTGTCCCTCAAAAATTCCACAACAATCAGCACTTTAACAAACTGCATTAGTCTGAAAATGTCATTCCATCAAAAAAAGTCAATCAGAATATTTCTACTTTTCTTCACTATCAGAAAAGTGCTTTTGAAAACATTTATTTTCTGAAAGATAAAGTCTGTATTTCATTTATGTTTTTCTTCTTTTAAAGAACAATCACTCTAAACTCAATTTATTTCTCATTGATTGGTTCTGTTCTAGTCACTGTCCTCCTTAATTTAAAAGGAATTTAAAGTATTTCTTTCTGCAGAGGTATTCTGTCAAAAAAAAGAAAGTTTTTCTCACTTGCCTTCAAATGCTCTCTTAACATAGCATTTATTCACCTTACAATCATTTGTTTGAAATAGCTATTATGACAATAACTCACCGAGGTTAGATATGAGGATAACAGCATATGTTTGAAGAATTAAAAGCTGCTAGGAGTTTCAAAACCTTCCACACAGCATACAAATGTATCTGCCTTTATTTCCACATCATCATTTGATCTTTTTCTTTTCACAGTGAATCATGGTCCTTTGAGGCATCTATCTCTTAGGATTCAAATATAGACATTCTGGAATCGTAGAATCCTCTGAGCTGGAGGAGACCCTTAAAGGTCATCTAGTTCAAGTTCCTTGCAATGAACAGGGATGCCTACAGCTAGATCAGGTTGCTCAGAGCCTGGTCCAGCCTGGCCTTGAATGTCTCCAAAGACAGGGCATCCACCACCTCTCTGAGCAGCCTGTTCCAGTGCTTCACCACCCTTACTGTAACTTCCTTATATCCAATTTAAATCTCTCCTCTTTTAGTTTGAAACCATTTCCTCATCCTGTCACAGCAGACCCTGCTAACCAGCCTGTCCCCTTATTTCTTGCAGCCCCCAGTTAGATACTGAAAGGTCGCTCTCAGGTCTCCCAGAGCCTTCTCTTCTCCAGGCTGAACAGCTCCAGCTCTCAGCCTGTCCTGGTAGGAGAGGTGTTCCATCCCTTGGATCATTTTTGTGGCCCTGCTCTGGACATGTTCCAGCAGGTCTGTGTCTCTCCTGTACTGAGAACTCCACATCCAGACGCAGTACTGCAGGTGAGGCCTCACCATGCAGAGCAGAGGGGCAGGATCGCCGATCACCTCCCTCACCCTGCTGGCCGCACTTTTGATGCAGTCCAGGATGCAGTTGGCTTTCTGGGCACATTTCTGGCTCATGCCCAGTTTGCAATCCACCAGTACCCCCAGGGCCTTTTTGGCAGGGCTGCGCTCCATCCTTACATCCCTCAGTTTGTACTGACAGTGGGGGTTGTCAGGACCCAGGTGCAGACCTTGCACCTGGATTTGTTGAACCTCATATTCTTCTCATAGGCCCATTGTTTCAGCCCGTCTAGATCACTCTGGATGGCATCCCATCCCCCGGCCATTTCAGCTGCACCCTAACATTTGTTGTCATCCACAAACTTGCTGAGAGTGTGCTCAATCCCACTGTCAATGTAATTGATGAAGATGTTAAAGAGCACTGCTTCCAGTACAGACCCGACTGGGACGCCACTTGTCACTAACCTCTGTCTGCACAGTTAGCCATTAACCCCTCTCTGGGAACATACTTGCAACTACTTCCTCATTATGGCTCTCCAGATTCTCTGAACACTTCGTACATTGCCTGAGACCTGTTGCACACCTCATTTGCTGCTGTGGTATTGGTAACATAGGGCCCAACTTCAGAATCAATGATTTTTTGTACTTTTTTGCAGTTGCTCTGCAGAAGGTAAAAGTAATTTATTTTTTTTTTCCTGAGATAAAACAAAACTGTCTTTTTTTTTTTTTTTTTTTTTTTTTTTCCCCATATTCAGTCTGAAAAATACACAATATGTAAGGAGCCCACATTACTGGACTCATTCAAGATAACTTACATGTGTCTGATTTAAAGAACTGCTAGATTTAACACAGAAAATATAGCCTAGTGGAGGTGCAGAGTGCTGCAAAGGGCTTTATCAATTTGGATCTCCAGAAAACAACCCAGCCTGTAGGACTAGAAAGAAACCATGATATATGCTAGAAATGAAGGTGATTGCTGCCAGGCTATTTGGCAAGAGCCTGGAGGTATGGAGATGATTAAGGTGCTCCAGGGGCTTGCCTGCATTATTTGACCCAGCTGGAAAGAAGTTCAGTCCTATTTACATTGAGGTTGACAGAACTCAGGCTGAATATTCACAAGGGTTGGGCAGAGCAATTGGATTTGCCGAGGATAACTGAACTCTTACCTTCAGCCATCCATTCTGATGCTGGCTGGGTTTTCTTTACTATCTGCCAACAGAAAATTGGCCCGGAACATTTACTTCACACAGCTGTAAGGACATATTCTTTTCTCCAGACAAAATCTGATATGTGATTGAAAGCTCCAGGATAGGTTGGCACCTCAGACCTCAATCTCTAAGTTTACTGTGGCTAGGTGTGTTATCAGCTAATACAAGGCATCTCCACCTAATCTCAGCAGCTTTCTTCATTTCAGTTGCCCAGACAAACACAAACAGAATTCTGTAATCAGACACCTTGCTGGGCACTGCTGTTATACTTAACTGATGGGCTAGTCAGGCTCCAGCTGATTTTCTGATGTTTTCTCCAACTGGAAAGGATTCTGACCAAGATGATAATACTGTCTTACTGATTGCCTATTATTAGCTGCTGGCTCCTTTTCTTACCATGATTACTTGGTTTTGCTACACACAACTATGCTGGTCAGGAAGAACTGCATGTTTCATGGCCATCCTTACTGGGAGACAACAAAGACATATTAAGCAGTCAGTTCTGCTGGTACTGAACTGATGCACTTAGTGTCTATTTAATAGGATAAAATGAGGATCTTACACGCTGCATTTAAATCAGGCACAGGCTTACCTTACAAAGTTAAATTCATCTCTCTCCAAATAACAATACCTGCAGCTCCCAAGGCAGCACTTTCTCCAATAGTGTTAATAAGATCTTGCTACAGTGTAAAGAGATCACTGTCAGGCTAACTCAGCATTTCACGGCCTTTCTGAAGCAATTCAATGGTAATTTATGTATCAGTCCACTGTACTGCGTTTTCTTTTCATACTGGTTCTCACAAACTATTTTTTATTGTGGCTCAAGACTTGCTGTCTAGAGTACAAAGACTATTAAATATAAGTTGATTCTTGCAAACAGATACAGCCTAAGATGTTGGTAATAAGCAAGTGAATAAACACTGGGAAAAGAGTACATTTTAATTCACTTTCATGCAAAATGTAACTGTAATTATTTGACATCTCGTTATTACTAGAAACAACTAAAATCTTTTAATTAAAGTGGGATTCCTAGCATGAGAATTCCCAGAAGCATTCCATCGATTCTGTTTTTGCTGATAAGGATAAGGAGGGAGCCATTCTGCTATGTCAATCAGTTGTTTTCCAGTCCCATTCCAGTTTTAAAGCTGTGATTCCAAAGGCATGCACTGTTCATAGTACTTTCCCTAGAAGCTCACAGCTTCTTATAAAAAATCGTAGAAAATGGTACTCTAAATAGGCATACACTAAAGGAGAGGGAATGCTGGCACAGTGCAACATTAAATGAAAGATGAAATGCAGCACTTGGAAAATCTTCATAATTTCAGGGTGAGTTTTCATGTTCTTTATACGTTTGTTTCAAAAAGATTTCTTTTACTGTGCTTTTTACTTAAATTGCAGGCTCTAAGAGAAGAGCATGTGGTGCATGGATCTTTATCTCCAATCTGATCAGTAACTAAGGATCAGCAACAAGTAAAACACTGTGCCACAAGCACTGAAGATGAAAGACAACTGATAGGCAAGTGAATCCTTCGATGCCACCACAAATTTAATGGAGACTGAGGACCACGTCACATCAAGAATCAAAGTAGAAAACTTACTTAAGGGAAAAAAAAATGACAGAAACTGGGCATAAATTAGTTAAATACAGCCTGCTGCTGTTCTTGACACCCTTCTATCTTCTTGCAAAGCTAAGGAAGGGTAAGCTGTATGAAACCACCAAAGCAAGCGTCTTGATCCTTCAAGTCTAGCTAGGAATCAGATGACCAAGTAAATCTTCAGCTTTGCAACACACCTCATCCTGAGCAATCCACATCCATTACAGTTAGGTCAAGAAAGTAGATAGGTATTAGGAAACTCCCTAACTCAAAAGAATTGCTCAAAGAAAAGACAGCAGAGACAGCCAGAGGTACAAAATGGTATTTTCCATCATCACTCTGTTTTGTCCGGATGTGAATTGCGTTGTTTCCATAGTCTGCCACTAGATTCAGCTGTTGTACTTAGTAAATCAATAATGAAGCCTGTGGATGACCACAGAATGTATATTAATGGCAGGTTTTGCTCCTCCCCCTCCCCCACCCCTCCCCCCCAAAGCCCCATTCAGATAATGCTCTACCTTTGTTTTGAGATCCTTTCCCATTTCTCCCATCCCCAACAGATAACAAGGACATTGCCTCACAACACACAAAGAGGCCCAAAGCCAGGCCTTCAGAAAGGAATGGCAAATGCATTCCAACTGTAGTGTAGCAGGGGATGGCAATGTTAGAGGAGTAGTGGGACCTAATAGAGGGAGTAAATTCTCTTTCCCAGTTTAGCTGCGATGTACTTTGGCTGAAAAGCTGAAAATGGCCTTTAAAAAGTGATTACGGCTCATTTACTAAACTCTGAAATACCCAATTTGAGACCTGCTGGTATAGCAGGAAAAGGAGGCCAGGGTTGTAACAGAAGGGTTTATGCTGCTTTTTCACAAAAAATCTGTTGTCTTCATGGAATTTCTGAGAAGATACCCACAATTAAGTAAAGAAGAACTACATTAAGATATGGGTCTTGAAAATATTTGTGTGTGTTTCAGCTGATGTGAGCAGTACTCATTGCTTCTGGTGCTTTCTACGCCAAGCAATGCAGAAAGGCTCCTGGTTTCAATATCTAACCTGAGCAAATTTCTAAGTTGTAACAGTGAACAGGTTGCTCACATCTTTTCCTGTTTCTTTTCTATAAAAAGGCAGCTATCTGGGGATTAGTTAGTGATTGCATACCTGAGCAGAAGAAAGTATATCAGAGAGGATTAATGTATTAACTTCCTCCTGCATTCTACATCAGATTGGTGAAATCCTTTTAATCCATTCAAATGCATGTTTGAGTATAGCATAGTGACAAACTAAAGAAAAAAAAAAAAAGTATTTTAGGCTGCATTTTTTTCTTCAAAACATTGAGCTCTTTTAGCATGGAGACAACTAGCAAAGTTGGCTCAAGATGGAGGTTTTCCATCTCAATGTACCATCTGCAAGAATGGTTAGAACATAAATGAAGCCCACAGTGTTCCAGCAAGAGCTTACAACAAATAGAAATAATAAAGGTTTTTCTCTATAACCTAGACAACTATGCACAAATATGGAGAAGGCATAACTTTGAGATGTAATGGAGAAAATTCTTATTAATTCATCAGCTCTAAGCTGAGAAAAGTGCAGAAAGATTTTAGTGTTTCCAAGGCATTTATTAATGCCAGTGAAAGGATAAAAGGATGCACTTCTATCCCAGAGCCAGGAAAGTTTATTTTCCTCAGAACTTCACTCTCTGGGCAGGAACCAGTGCAGTTCTGATCACAGAAATTGTAATTGTGATGGTAAGTGTATAAATAATATCCCCACAAGCCCTTTGTCTTGTTTTCTATTCTTAATGCAATTGTTTCCCCATAAAAGGTTTTGCCTTTCTTCAAAGGAAAATCTGGCTAAATGTTCAACATCAGTTTCTGAAATATTCTCTTCCATTAAATTAATTTTCTGTACATTTTCCTGTAAACACCTTCTGTATCCCAGTTGCAGTCTCACAGAGGTCTCCAGTGCTCCCAGTCCATGGCTGCTGATCCATGGAAGTTCTTAGCTGGAATGTCATAGTTAATGTCACAGCTGTCTTTCTCCAGATGTTTGAAAACAGAAGGTCTAGGGTAGGCCACCATTAACACGGATTTCCTGTGATGCATACCAGGGATATAGCCAAGCTCATTAAAATAAAACATATTAGTGTTTTCTGCCCTCTTGCTTTAGCTAATATACTCCCAGTTATATGAAACATTTTCAGGTTCAGCACTAGGTCGTACCTCAGGGGGCACAAGCCTTTCAGTGTGTTCTGGGCAGCCATTAAATGTTTCTTCTCCAGAACTGGTGGTCAGACTGGTTTCACAGCAAGAGAAGTCCAGATGAGTGTTATGCACACTCATGGCAGGGGCTGAAATGTGAATAATGCTTGATAGTATCCCATTTTCAGGCAGTACTTTACGACTTAAAAGACAACATAATGCAGACCTTCTAGTTTGTAAAATGTAACAGAAGAGGCATCAATACTTACTCCGTATATAGCTGTTTTTACCATGCTAACAAACATTGAATAAACAAATTAGACACAAGCTAATTCAAACAAAGGGATAGATTTTTCAGATGTAGTACCAGATTTTCATATGTAGTACCTCAGAGTAAGTGTGTGATTCAGCTTGTCTCATCAGTTTGGATCTTACTGAAATCACTAAGGATGCTACCATTCACTCCTGTGGGCCTCAGGGAGTTTTAGTGACTGTTACAGTTGAAAAGATGGATAAAGAAATGGTTTCTTATCCTTCAAGCTCTCTAAGTAATAAAGGCAACTATAAAATCAAACCTTAGCTTCTATCACAATCTTCATAGCTTTGTGGATGCCCCTGACCTGCTGAGTACAAGTCAGTCAGAGATACTCCAAAAAGCTCTAAATAAGCATAAGTATTTCATTGTCACTGTGCAGTACCATAAAGGGATACAAGTTCAGACCCCTGACAGCAATAAAGCAGATCTATGAAAGCTTGCTCTGAGCTATTTGTTAGCCTGGCTGCACTACTGCGTCGAGCTAGCACCTTCCAGACCAGCTCTGCACGGAACTGCATTGTGCAATGTGGACTTTGGTGCCAAAACCTGAGACCACTTTCATGAGCAGAATCATTAGTCCCATGGTCACTACTTTTCATGCGTGTGTTAGTCAAGAAAGAAAACCAGGCAAAGAGCAAAATGTGTATATATAAGAAAGATGGAGGGAAAGGGAAAGAGGGAGAACAGTGGAGACCCCAATAAACCCATCAGAAAAAAAAAAAATTGAAAAATCATCACCTGATTATTGGTATGCCTGGGCTTAGTTAGATCAGTGAGCCCGAGTTTAATACACGAGAGTATAAAAACCACAGAGAGCTTACAGTGTTCAGTATGTCTGTAGAGTAATAGACTGTTAAGCTGTAATAGTGTCTTTGCATCTATTCTCTGTGATGATTCTTTGCTTACAGAGGAAATGACTTCTGTGGTAAAGACATTTCTCAGGTACGCTGAGAGACTGAGCCTCTCTGTGAGGCTAGCACTGCCACAACTTCCTCTGCTTTGCTTTCTCATCAGAACAGATGTCACTTTCTTGCTCTTATGCACTCTCCAACCCCAGGTTTCCTCTGTGTTCAAAACCCTGAGGACATCCCACAAAGCCATAAAACCAACTATCAGAGATGATGATGGGTTTGCATTTGAGTACCACCTCTTCCTCCTTCCTTGCCTATCTGTTCATTTCTTCTGGGACTGTGACTCACTGGAGGTGAGGACCATGGGTTTCAAATGGGCAGCCAGATGATTACATGTACTAATGGGAACAGGAAGTGCATTCCTATCAGGTACATGTTATCCTTTCTTTATTTCAAACCAGAAAATCAATCAGATATATCTGTGTACTTGGGGTACTTTTATGGACATCTCCACACTCTTATTTCCTTGCAATTTTAGGATAGGGCTAGCACAACTTCATTTCAGGTACCTGCAAAAAAACCACATCAACATCTAAGGCAACCTAGGTACTTTTTAATATGCCATGAGTGGTTTGAGGACAGTCATCTGATGTTTTAGCTATGCCTTTTCCTTCTGTTCCTTCTGCTGAATATGCAGGCAGTCACCAGGACCAACACGGAGCAGAATTCAGCATTTCATTAAAGAAATCCCACCTCTTGAGATTTGCTGTGCATTTAGTGAAGGCTCAGGTGTTCAAAACAACTATTCATGTATCCACAAAAGGCATATTGGCATTAATGGGCCTTCTGGAAAATGGCTTTAATGAAAATCAGTCTAATTTGCACAGTATCTCTCTGAAAGCATATGCCATGCCACAAAACCATATTCAGCACAGCCATTCAGGGACTCTCAACACTAGAGGTCAAACTGAATTTTCTGTCTAGAAGGATGAATGACAAAAGCTGGGAAATTATGAGGTTGTTCTAGCAACCAACAGAACTACCAGACTTAGGGCCAGCCTTGCTGCCCTAAAAAAGTGACGAGAAGGGACAAAGGACTCCTGCCAGCACAGCAGCTCTGCCCTGTACCCCAGCCTCTGTCTGGGAACAGCAAATGCTTCTGGCTTTCCAGAAGCACCTCCAGGAGGGAAGCTGCAGCAGTATTGCCCAGCGGCATTTAGTTTCCTCTGCTGTGCCTCCAAGCAGCTAGGAAAGGCAGGGAAGCCATCAGGTCTCCGCAGTGCCCAGGTGCTGCCCTCTATGAGCAGAGAGGGCAGCTCAGCACCATCACTGAGCGCCGTGCTTGGATTTCACAAAGAATCAGAGCTGCAAGAAAATCCTGCCAGAGGGCAGCAAAACCCTACAATTGTTTTTTTCATGAATCGCAGCATGCAATTTTAAACTGCAATATTAAGTCTGCCCTGTGAGTGCTGCGTCACCTCCTGCCCTTCTGCTCCTCTCCTGTCCCTGTCTGCAGTGGGAGATGTGGGCAGCAGGGCTGGGCACAGCCTTGGGAGATGTGTCCCACGTTTCAGTGAGGCCTTCCAGCACAGGGCCTCTACGTGTTGATTTTCACAGGCAAAGTCACGGCAAGCAGAAGAATCATTTGCCGTGGGGGACATTAACGGAAACATATTTGTGGCTGCTGCATTGTTAGGGAGGAAGCCATTGCCATTTCATATTCCTGTGTGAGCACATGGTTGGCTTCTGAGCCCATTCCGCTCGCAGCATTCAGCCACCACAGGCACACAAACACTCCAGCAGGAGCAGGAGCTCCAGTCATTGTTTTCAGCATGCAGAAAGGAAGCCCCATGCCCAGGATCTTCTCAATATTTCTTCCTTCTCCCAGGCTTTCCAGATCTGCTTTTACTTGTCCAGAATGGCATCACACACTGAAACATGCTCCTGTTTATGCTTTCATTTCTATCTGTCCTGACACTGACAAAAAGCAGGATGAGTGTACCTAGTTATACCTCTTCTGCTGATCATATTTTCTTCTGTAAAATATGCCAGTACAGAGGCAGCCTGTCCTGGTGCCCAGCTGAGTGCCCAGTGAGCAGCCGTTCCCAGCAGAGAGCAGAAAGTGGGAGATACATGTCTTTATTGGGCAGCACGCAGCTCTCGCTAGGACTAGTGAAACTGACTTAAAACAGATGGACATACAGGGTATTAATTGAACCAAAGACTGCTGAAAATAAAGAACTGGCTTAATGATAAAGAAAAGCGTTCATCAAACTAAGTAAACTCCATATCTCTCTACCCCAGTTAATCTAGGATAGAGAGATGTGCTTTCAAACCTTGGCATTTGTCTTGTAACAGAAACGTTACAAGTGATGTTATGCTATTCATATCAAGGGATTAGGAAAAGTACAAATGATGACAAAAGACTTCTTTCTGGTTAACGTTGTTACTCAGCATGATGTTGACTCAGCACAACCTTGATGGCCTACAGCAGGCCATCTCAACAGGCCACCAGTCACTAAACAACCTTATCAAAGACATGCATAGTTTAGACAAGTATTTTCATGCCCCTGAGATCCAATTCACTTCCTGTTTTTTTACTGAATAATCCTTCTGTTGACTTTTTATCAACAAAGCTCAAGCTGATGCACTCAGAAGTTGGATGAGCTGGAACAAATTTTGCCTGCTTTAAGTCATGCTGTCAGAAGTGAGCCTTGCTTGCTGTGCCTGATCTGGATTTGGAAGCAATATGCTCAGAGATGCCCAGAGGTCAGTGATGAAGGAAATGAGGGAGATGACCCTGAAAACTCCAGAGCTTGCAGAAGCCTCAAGAAGGACAGAACGGGAGGATGCATTGCTGCCAGCTCTTCCTTCCTTAATAAGGGTGGGGGCTCATTAGACCACTGAGTGTGTCCTTTGGCTATCTGCCTAGATGAGATTTTGCAGAGTATCTCTGGTCAGCAAAGGCAGGGGAATATGCAGCATAATGATTAATATAAATGGAGCAGGATCTCATTATCTGACTGACTCAGTGGCATTGGTGACTGGCTGTAGCTGAGATTCAAACCATTTTAGCACAGTACTTCACTGATCCTGATGAAGGTGCTGAATCCTGAGCACTGTGAATAGCCATGGGATATTTTGTAGTGTTTTGAAGCCTGGATTGGGCACCTTTCAGTATGAATATTGCAGAAGAGCTATTTCCCATAGCACATTTGAGAAATATGCTGAATAAAGCATCAAAAGCTCTAAGTCAGCATTGTAAAACACCTATGGCATATTGGAATATAGGCACCTGTAGCAATTTTGCAGTAAAGTTTGATCTATTAAGAGGGAAGTTTGGGACTGTTAGACAGAGGGGAGCAGAGCTTAGCAAACAAGACACCAGCCTCTGAGTGGCTCAGAATTTGTCTGCCCTGATATCTCAGCTCATTTTGCCACCACAGTGGAACTTCGTGATTATCTACTGTGAGAGCATTTGTATCCTGGTGGTCTGCTAGACAGATGGAGTCCTGAATATCAAATATGAAGAAAACTGATCAAGTGCCCTCATGTAATTTACTTTTTGTCCACTTTGTGCTGCATAGATGTCTCTCATCTGTAGACAATTACACCTGACAGAATTCCAGCCTGGGAAATGAGGCTCATAGACCTAGCAAAGAGACAGCTGGCTTGATGGTTTGATTTAATGGCACTCTGAAACATCCATATAATCAGTCTTTATGCTTAGCTCTGTGTTCCATGATCCTCTTGATGCCAGTAACTGGATCCATTTCTGGCACATACTGAAATAATCAAAAGACTTTTCTGGCCGAGGTCCATCCTGGCTAAGCTCCCCTCTGCTTCAAGTCTAAAGGTTTTCAGTACCCTCCTTTGCCAAAGAGGGTAGCCTTTG